TGCACAGGTAAGATAGAAGTTGGTCTTAGTAGTTGCTGTGTAGGGACAGGGTGTGTTGGCAGTGAATGCTTGGAAAGGGATGTTTTGGTGGACAGCTGGGCTCCTTTTTGTTAAGAAGACATGCCATGTAAACATGAATAACTCTTATTGCAGTAAACCATCTCTTTGCCCAAGGCAGGACCAGCTCTACCTGTGTCGACCCTATTCACATCACCTAGGCAGATATGTCATGTAATGTTGATCCTGCCATAGGGTAGGATTTGGACTAAGTGACCTCTGTAATTTCCTTCTAGCCTTGTATTCTGTGTGTGTCTGAATGCCGGGGCAGAGAGCTCCACAGATCCTGCCCCAAAGGAACAGGAGAGCCCAGTGTGAAACATGAAAATGTGTATAGACTGCTTCCTGCTGCTCACTTCCTCAGCTGGATACTTCCCCTATCCCAGGAGACACAGTCTGCGCTCAGAGGCGAGGGGAGTGCAGGTTCAATAAGACACTTCATTTCTGATGGGTAGAAGCATCTGTGGAAGATTAACAGGGCCATGTTTGAGAGGTGAATATGAAAAGGAGATTAAATTCACATACCAGCATGTTGGATGTGTTCCGAAGTGTGTTTCTCCTAACCTTGGGCTATCCCTAACCATAGTGTTCTGTCAGATGGATTTACTCCTTAAATAGCATAGACACCCCCATGCAATTGCAGTTAGATTGATAAATATAGGCTTCATGTAGTCTGCTCCCTACTAAGAGATCCTAATAGTACAACACGCTTATCAGACTCTGTCTTTGCAAGGCAGTGCTTGGAGGGCAATATGTGAAGTGCAGCTGAGAGATTGAAGGAATTTAAGATGTGGAAACTGGCTCCTGGATCATCAACATAACTGAGCCATCTCAAACGCCAGACTTGCTGCTTGTAGCATTTCTGAGTGTCAGTTCTGAAGGGTATGGGTTCAGAATTTCATGTTTACTTGTTCTGCTAGACATACTGCATCTTGAATCACAGCACGAGGTCCCATGGTAGCGTTCCTGAGTCCTGTTCCCAGAGGAAAGAAACTCAGTTCGTCAACACTGTTTGGGCGTTTGCTTTGGAAACCTTCCATCCAGATGATGTGACTCACTTTGCAGCTTGCAGGAGTTGGGATGTGTGTGTGTGTGCTCAGTCACAGCAGAGCCTTGGAGATTGAGAGGAGGTAAGATTGTGGGAGGGTAAGAGAAGAATGAGGTGGGCCTGGGAATATAGAGAGGGATGCTCTTTGAACTGTTAGTTAAGAGGTAGAAATGATTGAAGAGATGGGTAAGAGGAGGAAGGCTGTCCCTGCTGAAGGGTGGCTGTGGATAATGGGAGGATGTTCTTCATGCCAACAGTCTTACAAAAGTGCTCTGGCCTTGGAACTGCTCACTAACACATTTCCTAGTTCTTGCGGTGGGCTGGATCTTGGTGAAGGGTCAAGGGTTCTGGCCAGGTCTCTTCCTCCTTTAGATGCCTCTGCTGACTTGTGGCTGCTGCTGCAGTATGTAGGCATCCCAGAACTCCATTGCTTCAGCAGCATGTGTTAGACTTGGGTGCTTGGTGTGTCCAGCCCATGAGGGTGATGGCAGAGCACTGCCCAGGTAAGCCAGCCTGAGAGCTTTCTCCCTCAGAGCCAGGCCTGCTTGGGTGATGCATCTGTGGCTGCTGTTCTCTCTTACCTCATGCACTTGTGCTTTCAAGCTTCAGAGACCATTTCTTACCTTTGAGCCATGCCACCCTTCTCCTCTCCCCTAAGCTCTGAGCTGCAGTAAGATTGCATGTGAGCAGAAGAATGAACTTTTTAGCCTGGAATAATTGTGTTCTCCATTGGTGACAGAATCTATTTTGTTTTTTTTTTCTTCCTTTTAAATGGCAATTTTATATCATAGAAAATTTTTTAATTCTTCTGCAAGCTACATATAAAATATAACAGATAGGCAAAAATGTATTATTAAAGCCATCTATTTTTCTTGGCATTCCTGTAATTTAATAAACTGCTTAAGCTCCATTTCTGCACTGTGTGACATCACAAGAATAAACCCCATCCTTTGATTAATAGCTATTCCATCAGTTCCCCCTCCCCACATTATCTTATGTGTAATGGGCTTGGGAGCCATGCGAGTTTGGTTTGGGTAGCTGGGCTGAATGACTCTAGGAATGCTGCTCAGTGCCTACCCATGAGGGTGGTTCTGCTCCAGATAACCCAGGGACGTGCAGCTCTGACAAATGCCAGTTGAATTCTCCCAGTTTGCTGTTCCAGAAGAGTAAGGGGTAGGATCCTCACGCAGGAGAGGGGACATCTTCAGCAGGACTTACTGCTACTCAGTGAGGAGCTCTGTGGTTCTCAGCAGCAGGGCAATACAAGGGCATGTTTGAAAGGGGAAAAACTTGTGTCTAAAGCTGGAAACTGCAGTGGCTTGTGGCCAGTTCCAGCAGGTAATGAGCACCGCAGGTCTAGAGAATGAGTTGCTCAGGTGGGAGCTTGGTGTGGTGGTGGTGTCCGTGCTCATTGTGCATTCAGGTTTTATAAAGCTCTGCCTGGATCAGAGGTGCCCCTCGGCTGGCTCCGCTGTGATCATCACCATGCTGGGCCTGCAGGTCTGTCCTCACTGTTTCCATGTGAGACTTAAAGACAGGAGAGCATAACAGATTACTTTTAACACTCCCAACTAGTTTTGGTTTTAGCTTTGATTGACTGAGAAGGATCTAGTGTGCAGTCAAGTATAGGCCACGACAGGACTTCTACATCCATTCTCTTCTGAGACTTTATTATAGGACTGTGTAAATCTGCTCTCTAAAACCTCTATACATATGTGCAAGAATAGGACCACTGAAAGTATCTTTGTAATAAAGTCGTGAATGGTGAAGAGTCAACAAGAGTAAAATGGAAATGATCCCCTTTAAGAAGAGCTGCTTTTGGGAGACTTGTTAAATGCATGCAAGATGGGCAGTGCAGGTCACAGGGGTGCTGTGTCTCGGCTGCCCTTTGCTCCCAGCATGTTGTTCTATGGCGCTGGGTGTTACCTGTGGGAATCACTATATGTGGCATGTTACAGGACTTCAGGGATTTGTGGAACAAATTCCTTGAGCCAGAGCAGTCCAGGTGGTTTCCATGGATTTGGATCATTTGGTGAGTGAGCTGACTATGGAAAGGGAAGCACATTTCCTCTCAGGAGCCGTTATAGCTTGTTAGAGTGAAGGACTATCACTGATGCTTCTGCTTTCTCTTCCCAGATCTGCTGCTGAGAGCACAAACTTTGCAAGTCAGGAGCACCTTCACACTTGAGTTTCCTGGCGGGGGGAGCAGTGCTGCTCCTCCGCTAGGATGTGGTAGTGCAGCTCCAGCCTTGTGCAGGGAAGCTGGGGGCAGGAAATCTGACCCTGCCTCTGTCATCATCATGCAGCATTTGATATGTTGGAGTGAGATTCAAATTCAGGTCCCCTGATGGTATTCCAGCTGTTGAAGCATCTCATGGTCTGTCATGCGCTTAGCCTCGTAATCCTTTTCCTGGTAAAAACCCCTTTTGCTACTGATCGAATGAGGGAGAAATCAGTGTACCACGGGCAAAGCCTTACCTACAGTGATGCTATGACTGAGCGGAAGACAAAAGCCTTGACACTGTGGCTCAGCATGTTAATATCTGAAGTGTTTCTTATTTCCCTTTGTCTCAGCCTTTCTCCCTGCTTGTATTGACTCTATGAGCTATAGAGTGCTCTAGAAAATAACCAGCTGTTTCGTTAAGTGGATTTAGTCTATCCTTCAAGTTGACAGACGATTTTTATTATGTACTATTACTTAATGAACTCTTTTGTGGCAAATGTAATTCAATACAGATTCTGATTTCCAGTTTGTCATCAGTCCTTTTATAAAGGAAGAAAAATGGAAAGGGGCTTGATGATTCCTTTATCTTGTTATGCTAATTGCATTAGGAATATTGGAGAAAAACAGCCAGTGGATTTAACAGAAGAAAAATCCAATCTTCTATTCTACTTCAAGAAAATGGGAGTTTACTGGGGCAGAACGTGTCTGAATTCAGCCAAAGCAAATTCTGATCCAAGTTTAGGTTTTGAAAAATCTAAGTAAATAATTATTTTGTTCTGTGAAATTCTTTTTGAAAGAAGCCTGCAACAGATATAATGGAGGATATGGATGAGTTACAGACCCAAGGGTTTGGCCAGGGAGCAGCACGTGGTGTCAGGTAGTAATGGAGGTACTAGAAAGGAGTTGAGAAAGGGTCGAGCTCTGCATGCCTGCAGAGGTTAAGCGTGTTTGGTCCCATCAGCTCCTCCAGGAACGAATGGTGCTCTACATCCTGTAGGACCTGTAACTATCTGTGACGTGCCCAGACTTCTGTTACGCAGTGTGAAGAGTTAATTTGACATCTTGATGTGTATGGGTGCAGTAATCTTAAGGAAAGTGTAAATCTCTGAATTTAAGAGCAGACTGATTTGCCTACTACTGGGTGATTGCAGGCTGTCAGATCCTGGTGACAGAGACCTTACTCACTAGTTTTAAGGCTGGGAGAGGCTGCTGCGGTAATTTGTTCTGATGTGTATCATGCAGGCTGTAGGATCCCATCTAATCACTCTTCTGCTTCTGACCCAGCAGACTGTGGCTAAAATCCAGCAGACACACAGCCAGTGTCAGGCTCCAGAAGCTATTTTGCAGGGGCAAGGGCTCACTGTCAAATGTTAGAGCCTGGAAATTCCTCAATTAAATACCCGTGGAATATAGTTAATCAGGATTCTCCACACAAGGTTTATGGCTTGATCTTCTTTGATAGTAAAAAACAGATTCCCATCTGGATTAGTGTGAGAGGTAATAACAGGAATGTGTCATACATGGAGCTGCACCACCCAGCTACTGAATGTATTTGTGTTAATCTCTCTTTGAATATACAGCTGGAGTTACTGCCTCTGAAATCTGTGGCCAAGACTCGTTTCTGTCAACCATTGCTATTGCCCCAACCCTCAGTTCTAAACAGCTCAGGCATTTGTCATAAATAAAACATTTTTATTATTTGTATACATCTTCCAAACAACAAAAAAGCCCCTGCTTATTCTGTCGTCCTAAGAAAAACCCATTTCAGATGAATTGTCATGCAGCTGTTCTGTACTATATAAATCATAGGGGATTATTCGAGATGGAAATAGTCACTTTGGGGCAAACATGAAATCCCCATAGGACCCTAGGACTTAAACAGGTAGATAAGAGTGTTCTCTGGATACTGGGGTAGGAAAACAGGCTTCACTTAGAATTTGCCAGGGTTGTTGCTGGTAATGTAGCTGAGGTGAGGTGTCACAGCTCCTCCAGGCACAGCACGGAGCCTGAAACACAAAACACAGTCAAGCTTCAGGGGTTGCATCTGATTCCCAAAGTACTGCTTTTCCCTCCTAATAATGGAACTCTTGGAGATCCTTTTTTTGGATGTGTGATGCGATTTCTGGAAAGGCGCTCTATGGGGAAGGTATGCAAGTATGTGCTGTTCCTGTCTGTCCCATAAGCATTTAACAGAAGATGATTTACACAACTCAGATTTCCAGAGATTATTCTTCCAGACCTTTGGAATATGTTGATTTTTAACTGCAGTTTTTATAGAAAGGCAGCAAAATGAATCCTTTAATTTCATTCTGACAGTGTCAAAATATTTTGGTTCCTGTCATGCTGAAACATTTCTCTTTTTCAGTTAAACTGTTTATACTTTTAATCCATAATATCGATTGGAAGTTGTAGGTGGCATCTCCTATAGCACAGTGCTGCACATTCCTTCACCCCACTTTAGTTACTGTGGTTTTGCATCAATTATCTTACAGTTTAGACTTTCTAGTAAGTCTTTGGTTTGGATTTGGAATTTGGTGGGAATGTAACTATGAAACCCAACTGCTGAGTGAATCTTTAGCTCTGTGCAGGGTTACAGCAGCAAACGCACACTCCTAAGCACCAGGAAGCAAATCTGCATGCCCATACCCTTGGGAAAGGGAAAATAGGAGTTGAATCCCATTGCTGGCCATTGGTGGCAGGTCCTGGATGTTGCTGTGCAGCATGGCTGGGCTGATCTGCTGGTACGGATACGCCGGCTGAACCACGGTGATGTAGTTCACTATGGGAGTGTGAGGTGGTGGGAAAATCTGCTGTGGGCTGTATAGAGGTACCTGGGGAGGAAAGAGGAATAGGTTACAGTTAAAAACCAGAAGTGAAGCAGGAAGGCCACAAGTGCAAACTGGAGTTGTCAGAGCTGCTCTGTCAGACACACGCTGTGGTGTCTCCCAGTTTTATACAGAACTGGAGCAGAAGCAGGAAGTGTTTTCAGTGAGAGGCTCAAGGCTTTCTCTTGAGCTATTTGCAGCACACGATGCTCCAGCAAGCTGTGTTAACATCTCACACTTCAGCATCTTGTCCCCAGATCTGTTTTTGCGGTGGTAGCGATGTCAGTCCTGGCACATGAGAAACTGCTCTGGCTTCTCTTGTGCTCAGCATCTGCGCTCTTGCAGATTAAAGCATGTTCATAACCACTGAGATGTACCTGTCCTGGGTAGCATGCGAAGGAGGGGTGCAGAGCTTGCTGGACCGGGATCCTCACTCTGGGGTATGGACCCTGTTAAGCAGATATGAGACATGATTTCTAAACCAGTCTGAGCGGGTCCATTAATGACTTGAGTGTGAGCTTTTTATGGGGACGTTATGCTCAGAGATAAATGTACTTCCTAGCTTTGGGCAAAAGTCTCCTAAGTCTGAGCCCTCCAGAGTAAGAGTCTGCTTCCTACTCTCTGTTCTGCCTTTGGACGTATCCAGTTCACAGGTGACTGCTGAGAGGTGGATGCATTGGGTGCGCATCCTCTGCTGAGTAGGTATCTGCTGTGCCAACTACTCACTGACTTAATGGAGAAAGGAAAATGCTTGGACTCCCTTGGATTCAGGGGAGCTCTGTCCGGGAAAACGTGTGCTCTGTGTCGTGTGTGCCCACTCTGTCTCTTGTAACAGGCTGGTGACAGCTTCTGGCAGCTGTGGGGTGAGCAAAGGGTATCAAAGGGAGCAAGGGGAGCACAGCCCAGGGAGAGCTGTGGCTGCATGGTTATTACCAGAGAAACGTTTGTAATAAGTTACGTTAAAATATTTGTAAGTCAAGGGGCAAGCTGTTCATAAATAAAGGGCTCAAAACTATAAAAGACGCGAGTACTTGTCAGTGAAAAGATGCAGCAGGGAACTGATGAAGGCGGAGAGCTCTGGGGCTCTCCTGCTCTTCTCACAAGATGTGGGTCAGTTTTGTTTACCTCAAACTGTGGGAAGTGGTTGGGAAAGATGGGAAGCAGAGGGAAGCTCAGACTCTGCCACACCGGCTGGTTCAGTCCTGTGATCACTGAAGCAGCAGTAAAGCCTGAAGTACTTGCGTTGTATTTAACACTTTTCTTATCCAATGTTCCAGTAGTTACTGTAAAACAAAACAAGGTTAAAGCTATTAATAAACATGCATTCTCTTCATGCGTCTCTAGAACATTTGCAGTGACGAGGACAAGATTTGCCTCTAAGCAACATCTAAGCTGCCTGTTGCTTTGCAGGCTGTAGGTCTGCAACACGGTGCCCCAAACTCAGTAATGAGTGGTTCAGATTCACTTCTTGGGGGCTGTTATACTGTGACCCACAGGACCTGGAATAAAGCCAATTGCCTGAGCCATGACAACAAATCACATTGTGAGGATAGAACAGGAACATTTGCCTAAAGTTCAGAGCTCGTAGATAAGAATATTGCAACAGAGAATAGGTTTGATTGTGTCTCATTACTGTAGCCGAGAAACTTAAACAGTAGATCTGGGCATGGACCACTGTTTTTGCCTGTTCTAAGATGCTTTCAGGAATGTAGTTATTGATACTGCATTCAGGTTCTTTTAAATGTCAGGATACTACAGTCAGGGTCTTTTAAATGTCTCACAATGGGAACCCAAAAGTCATGACATAAAAAAGGAACCCCAAGCAAAATAAACCCTAACAAACCCCCTGAAACAAGTTCCCCCCCGAAAATAACACTGACACCCAAAACTGTGCTACGAGCCCCAAAACAGGCCTCTAGGATGAGGAGATACCTAAATCTCTGTAATCATGACCTTCCTATTTCTACTCTGTTTCAGCGTGTGAGAAGGACACTGGATAGGTGCTGGTCAGAGCGCAGGGAGATGCCAGCATCCTGGTATAACATGGGAATTCTCGGATGGAAGGATCATTGGGCAGTTTTCAGTCTCTTGCATGAGGCTTGGGAAAGGCATCGCCGTAGGGCAGCTTGTGCTTCATGCCTTAGTTTTCCCATGACTCCCAGGTGGTGCTCAGGGACCATGCCCAGATTCATACCTGCGTTCCTGGTGACTGCATCGAAACTGGCTTTGGAGCAAGTCTTGGCAAGTGGTGGGAGCTGCTCCTTTTGTCCTCTGGCTCCACTTCCTGCTGTAGCTGTTGATGATGCGGCTGTAGTGCTCTTGGCAGAGCTCACTTCCTTCACCACCTTTGTTTTCTCAGCCACTACCTGGCTGCCCATGCCTTTGACTGTGGCTGTGTCCTTCAGTACCAGTGGCACCTCCAGCTTGCTGCTCTTTGTGCTGCTGGTACCTGTCACGTTGCGATCCTCCAGCCCCTTGGAGCTCTTGTAGGACTTTGCTGGGCACAGAAGGCCGGTGATAACAGATTTAGCAGAAAGCTGAGCATCACAGAGAGCTTTTAATTTCATCTCCCGTTCTTTGTTTCTAATCATGGTTCTGTATATGCTTTCAAGTCCCTCTGGTTCATTTAGCAAGTAGTTGCTGTAAGAAAGCGGAATATGGCTGTTGTTAAAGGAGGTTTGACTTAAAACTGAGTCTGATTAAGATTCCTGAGCTTTACATTCCTCGAGTGTTCTATGTAAGATTCAGGTGTTCTTTTGAACCAGAGTAAAGTTCACCTTTCCCACTGTGCCCTGGCTGTAGCTGAAGAGAGCTGAGGTAGCAACTACACTTGTTTCCCTTTGGCCACTGATGCTATTGCAGTTGATGAATTGGGTACCAGCTTTACTGACAGTTGGTGTATACTGAAAGATTCTTCTTAATCTGTCTTTCTCTGAGTTTTTCAGGAGTAGTAGAGGTAGTGAGGGCACTACTCAGAGGCAGCAAACTGACCTTATGGCTGTCTCACTTGAAGTGCTTTTATTCTAAAGCATTTCCTTGAGCTTGGTACAGTCATTTGGTACACTTCTAACATTCCAGCTTGGCTGTTGGTGGAAGGTGCAGTGACTCTGGGGTCTGTGAGCAAGTGATGATCATCGTGCCCTGCTGTAGGAGTGTGTGTGCAGAGGGCACTTCTGCTGGCTAATGACAGGGAAGCACTGCTGAGAGAAGTGCCCTCATGAGCTGCCAAAGGTAACTCCACTCAGTGGGTGGGTAGAGGAGCGTTATTCTGAGCTCAGGGATGGCACTTCAGCCATAGGCTTTGCTGTCTTTTTAGTTTCATCTGAACCGAAGCTGCTGGGTTTGTCTCTGGTCTTTGTGCTTGTCTCAGTCCCTGCCTTCATTGCAGGGACCCCAAGGCTCATAACTCACATTAAAGTAGTAAGACAAAACCTATTTTTATCTGCTGTCTGCCCAGTTGCACTTGCTTGTGATTGCATGTTGAGTGGGCTAGAAGTTATGTTGGTGAAGCTGGCCAGTATGGACTTATTGCTAAAGACCAGATCTGTATTGCTTTAAGAATAAAATGCTTTAAAGGATACAATTAGGAATGTTGGTATGTGATAGCCCTTCCCTGGTCTGTATGATGTTGTCTTTGCTAAGACAGCTGACAGGACCAAAATCTGTGGCTGATGAGCATGTGCTAATTGTAAAGTACTTCAGCTGTGTAATTTAACCTACCACTATGGGCATCTCCATGGGTTTCCTGGTGGTTCTGCAGTTACCCATTTTCCCTTTTCCTGTATTTATTCTGGAGACTCTTAACATCTCTGCTTATTTAGGATACAGAGGAGAAAGGGAAGGAGCCAGTACTCCAAGCTGTGATTCCTGGTTTCTGCCTGACATCACTGTAGGTACTTCTCTTTCCGCATCTCCTCATCTCCTCTATGAAATGATCTGTTTCCCCAGCAGTGAAGCTAGTTATGTTAAAGATGAAATGACCATTTACACCCCTTCATGGACCAGGCAAGGTGGCTCAGGCCCACATGCTGTTTGTGTGGATGTTAGGAACTGGACATGTGCTGAAGCTTTGCTGGGTTTATAAATGTTGCTGTTTCTGTTCTGGGAGCCCACAGTAAATATTGTGCCACTACTGTGAAGAGCGTGCTTCCCTCTTACCATTATTTGTCCTGTGAAACATGATTTGGCATAAATTTTTCAGTGCTAAATCCAGCTTTTCTTTGTAAAGATCAGCTGTTTACAGTAGCTTCCTTATAACACTTTAATTTTCGATTTTGCTCCTTTGAATGCTGCTTTCACTTCTTCCTGTAAATATTTTGATGTGTGTGGTTGGTTTTCTTTAAATGTGGTGGGGAAGCGAATGCAGCAGCTGCTTTATGGTGCTTCAGAATTTGAAGTAGTCAGATTTCATGGGACACACTTTTCTTTTTTTTCCCCCAAAGAATATTTGTTATAGTGGAAAGAAAAAGGGAATAATTTGCCTGATGAGGGGGCAGTTGATGTACCCTGTGCCCCAGGCTTTCCTTTCAACAGGTTACTACAGCCTGCCTCGCAAAGAGGAAGGGAGCAGACTGTTCTGCTGGAGCCTGGGCAGGGCTTGAAGGGCACTTACTTGCTTTGGGATCTGGTGGTCTCTGTCCGTGGGCTCTCCAGCAGCTCTGAGCAGAGCCCGTCCTGCAGCGGGGCCACCAGCAATGGCAGTCGTTGGGCGCGTTTCCAGATCTCATGGCAAGTCTCATCCAGGCCATCCTGGGGAGTGTTGCTGTGGATCCAGATGTGCCTAGGGAAGGGTCCCAGTGGGAACGGACCCTCCGATGCTTCTTCTGAAGCTGAAAAGCTGTTCCTGCCTGGGAGCATCCTCCAGCCTCTAGCATCCACAAGGGTCTCTCTGGAGGAGGTGCTTTGTGTTGGTTCTACTGAGCCATGGCAACCGTGGAACCTTGGCGCTGGGCAGCTGGAGATGCGCTGCAGCTGGAGGCACACCCCGCCCTCGCAGCCCCAGGACCAGGGCTGTGTCCTTTGGCATGGCTGAGAGCCTTGGCTGGCAGAAACAGGCTCCAGCCTTCAGGGTTCAGCTGCTCCTGAGCTCCCGAATGCCCCTGCTGTGTCTGCAGGTGGCTTGAGCCTTGTGGAGCTCAGAACCAAGGGCTGTTCCTCTGCTCTCTTCCCTTCTTTCGCCCTCAGTCCCTTATCTTCCTGATGAGCAGAGGCCTTGTTGGAGGGAGGTGGTGCAGACAGAAAGGGTGTTCTCCTTAGTATTTACTCTTATTTTGCCATAGCGCAAAGAGGAGGAGCAGCATCCTTGTGTCTGGCCCATCTAGCACCCTATTCCATCCCTTTAGCCCCCATGTAAGCTCTTCTTTCCACTGTCATGGAAAAAGAACTTGTTCTCATTGCTTATTTTTCAGCATAATGGATGTGGGATTTTGCTTTGGGTGCAGATTCTTTTGGACATCCTCTGTGGCGTTTTGCATGCTGGGCTAAAAAACTTGAGCTCAGTATGAAAATGTAAGGCAAAGTATGTTTTTTAGTATCAAAGATCTGTGCACACCTTCAGGTGCAACACTGTGGTTTTTGCTACTGGAAAACATTACACTGCACACTGAGGTCTTGGCTCTGTACTGAACTCTTTTTAGATAATCCAGAACTGGACTCTCCTGTCATGTAAGTTAAATGGTGACTGGAGTTCCTTGCTAATAAAGGCATTATTCACAGCTATCCCTTAACTCATGGTTATGCCTGGATAAATGTTCTTTTCCCCCTAATAGTGATAAAATGTGGTTAGGAGAGAGCGAATGAAATTAATTGTGTGGCATTTGGCAAGATGGCTTTTGGGTGGTCCCCCCCCAAACCAAATTACTAATTCTGGTATTTAAAATTGTATGGAACAGTATCATGGTCCCAGTGCCCTCTCTGGGTCCCCCTGTCACCACAGTGGTTGCGGTGATGAGCCAGGGCACTTGTCTGTGGCCTTTGAGGCATGATGCATGTAGGAATGCTCCGTGGATTAACCTGGATCTCGGGCAGGTTGCAGTTGCTGCGATTTGTTTCCTTTGGAGGAATCCCAAAGCAGCTCGGGCTGTTTTGGCAGGGAGGGTGAGGTACTGTGGGGGAAATGGAATACAAAGGGGTTGGCTGAATACCTGCAGAGGATGCGGGAGGCAGGAGCGAGGGACCAGGGTCCCCTTGGCCGAGTTTGACTGCGGGTGGCAGTGCAGAGCAGACCTCGGTGCTTGCTCTGAAGGCAGGATTTGATTCCCTTTCAGTATGGGTGATTCTGCAGAGTGAGAAGCTGAGGGAGTGGTAGGGGTTAGAAATGGGCTGTGAACCAGAACGTGCAAGTGCCTCCTTGTTAGGATGAGTTGTAACCAAAGGAGTCGGTGATTGGTTCCTGTTGTATTCATCACTCTTGTCCATTCAGCAAATACAGTATTTTTGGGAGGGAGCTAGACCCTAAATCGTGGTGGTTTTGAGAAAGGAACTTACTTGGGAGGAAACTCTGGATTTGAAATAGGTATGATTTTATGAACTGGGCATAAAGTGGGATTGTATCTCCTCAATGATGTTATTATGCCTGTGGATTGTTCCTGATGCAGGGCTGACTTTGGCTCAGCCCGTACCCTGCGGGTGTGCAGCAACCAAGTCACATCTTCAGCTGAATGCAATATTGGGATGGGGGGATTCTTTAAGGAGAAGAGCTGTATAAGGGGAAACCAGTGTATGGAACTGTGAAGTGTGGTACCGTGGTCTCTGATCCTTTTGTGTTTGGATCTGTGCCTTTGAACAATAAGGTCTATTTGAATAGATACTGCAGTTTAAACAGACATAAAGCAAGTCTTTCATGTAACAGCCCTGGTTGCCTTGGCTCTTGGCATCCTTTCACAATGTAGGCAGTGGAAGGATTGAAAAGCAGAGGGGACCCAGGGAAGTGAGGGAGAGAGGACTGATTTGAGGGTGGAGGACAGGTTTGCAAGCCCTCGGTACAATTTGGGTTTTAGCTGTCACATAAGCTCATTCAGGGCAGCCGGAGCAAGACTGGAGAGGGGGTTTGCAGCAAGAAACTGCCGCAAATGCAGAGCGCTGAGGCAGGGGGATGGGTGGCGAGCACGGGGTGAGCCGGGTGCTGGGGGGCTCAGCACCAGGTCCTGCTCCCGGCCCCTGCTGCTGGGCTCCTCTGCTGCCCTGCCTCGGCAGCCCCCGGGGCAAGGAAGGGGGAAGAGGAGGGGTAGGGATGGAGGGGGGGGGCTCAGTCTGGAACCCCCCCTTGTCTGCCGGCAGGACTGCTGCTTTTGGGAGAGGGCCTGCTCCTTGTCTGTAAACCAGAAGGGAAGCACAGGAGCAGCTTCTGGCCGAGATGGGGGAGGATATTCGAGGGTATCGCTTACATTTGTGCTTTTTCTTAAAGCTTTGCTGTCACATTTGACTTATTTTTCTCATCCACAGAACTGAGCATCATTACCAAGATAATTAAGTTCCTGAATGTGCCTTTAACAGACAGCATTTTTCCCCATCTTGTGTGTAGCTAGAGACAAATGTACGAAGAGATGCTTAAATAAAAAGGGTGGTGGGGGAGAAATACCCCTCTCGCCCCTTCTGTAGGGGCAGCAGCACCATGGCCAAGCATGCCTGTTGGCTCAGGGGCCAGCACAGCCTTTTTCACCTCCAGAACACCTCCTGACCCACTCCCACCATTGCCAGGGCATTAGCTGCGAGGACCACTTGCAGATGGGGGGGGTTAAAATGGCTCTTTCTTGTGTTTGTAGCAAAATTTGCTTCATCACAAAAACAGTGTCAATACCATCAAGTTGTTTACAGAGCACGGAGGAGGGATGGGGGGTGCCGGGAGCCTGCGTTGCTCTCGCAGATGTCTTAATAGCAGCGATGCTGCGTGTCTGTGTGTGTACATATGCATGCCATGCTCTGATCCAGGCATAATGGGGGGCTCTGGGACTGGTTCCTACACGAGAAACCTGTAGTGTGCCTTCCACATAAACACGGTGTGAAAGCCTAATGTGGGGCTTGTTGATGTGGGTAGGGTGGGTGCTGGTGGGAGGCTTGTGCCGGGTTTGCGGAAGCCAGACTGAGGCAGATCTGTCGGGTGGCTGCAGAGCAGCCCCTCACAGCACCCGTGCCCTCTCCCCTCCCCAGCATTTAGTGAAGAGGAGAGCAGAGATACGGGAATGATTAATCAACTGGCTAATAAAAAAGTATAAATCCCTGGGGACTGTGTGCTGCTAATGCCGAGGAGCTGGCTCGGAGACAGCCACCGGGAGGGACGAGCCAGCCCTCCTCTCCTTGCCTTGCCTCTCCTCTCCTCTCCCCGAGCTGCTGCCTCACTTGGTTCATTCCAGCTGCAGCAGCTCAGAGCCTTCCATGCGGTGGGATTTTTTTTTTTTCTGGGCTGAAAAAAATCAAAAAAAGAACATTCCCAAGCCTGACCTGTTTTTTTCCCCCCTTTTCCCTTTCTCCTCTCCATCCAGCCGAGCCGAGGACTAGCCCAGAGCCAAGGGGAAGAAAAAGGGGGGAAAACCCAATAGCAACCAACCCCCAGCACGCCCCATTCCTGCTGCCCTTTGACATGCAACCTTCCTTGGGATGGGACGAGCCGGGATGCAGCTGCAGCTTCGGAGAGAACTGGGGGAAATTGGGGATCTTTGCTGTCATGACGGTGGAGCTGAGCTCCTGGAGCCGGGTGCTGCTGCTCTCCGTGGGGCTGCTCACGGTCTCGGTCACTGGTAAGTGGAATGCAGAAAGCTGGCAAGTTTAGGGGCATTTTTCCTCCTGCTCCTTAGATCAAAGGAGCACTGTTAATCCTCTTTGGAGGTGGGGGGATGACACTGTGTGTGTGTGTGTGTGCATACACTTGTGTGGCAGCACATGCTTCCCTGTCGTGTTCAATGAGGAGTATGTTTTCTTCAGACCTTTGTAGCTCTGTGCAAGATAGTTCCCTTCTGTAGCCCTTGGGAGCAACAATTTCAAGCGATGGGGTAATAGAAGGTGGCTTTATTTGATCGCATTCCCCTGCTCTGGTGGGTCAGATCACTTGTGCACAGTTGCTGTATGATACGGAAGATGACTGTGAAAAATGCCTTCACGGTTTCTCCCTCCGTCTTTTCCTTGCATCTTAATTCAGTGTTTGTCCATAGCTGATAAAATAGATTTAGGATGCCTTGGGTGAAGATGAAAACGCTTTTCTCTTATTCTTCCTGCCCTTATGTTGATTATCTCTTACATGAGCTCTTTGGCCTCAGCATCACGTTCCTTTGTGAAATAGGCGTATATTGACTGGAAAGATAGCAAGAGAAGACTTGAATTGTGGGGGGGGGGGGGGTGTTGCTTATGGCTCCTCCCTGGTTTCTGCAACTGCCCTTGTAGCAAAAGCCTATCTAAGGACTGAAGTTTTTCTGGTGTAAACAGCAAATATTTAGGGACTGTCCTGTGTGTAGGAGGGGGACGAGTGGGAGAGCTGTGTGTTGGCAGCGTCTGCTTTCAGCGCTGTGCTGTGCCCCGCTTTCCCAGAGTTTCCAAGTAACGTTTGTCTTGTGCTGTCTCTAGGCTGGAGGAATGCGTGTTTGTGTTGATGTGTGTGAAGGCTTCGTGGGCTTGGAGTTCCTGGGAAAACTTTATCTGGAATGTAACACTGATATTAGGGTGTCAGGGCAGATCCAGAATAAGCATTAACTGCTCCTCCGG